TTTAATAAACCACATTTATTAATGAGTTAACTTACATCTGCAGTCGTTTAAAACCTAGAAAGACAGGGAGTATTTTTACAACGCATGCAGTTGTCTGTCAGCCTATACTGTGGCAGCAGTCAGCTTTATTGAACCGGCAACACGGTGGCCTCCTGTGTACCAACATCAGCGTAGGGTTTCACCTGCACGGCCAGTGTGCCGTTTGGCAGCCAGACTGCACGATCAGCATGGTGATTCCTTGGTACTCTGGACTAGATGTTTTCTATCTGAGTCTTTAGACTGCAGAAACAGTTTTCAAGAGGCTGTCAAGTGCATGATTTCAGTGTGGTCTTGAAACAAAATCTCACTTTCTGTGTCTCTCTTTTTTTGTGTGTCTCTCTACAGAAACAGGGCAGGCTGAAAGTCCGAACCAGCCCAGTGAAAGCGACATCAAGGACCAGCCAGAAAATGGTGAGTGTTTCTACTCGCGTTTCCCAACATATCTAGAAATATGCATATACAAATCCCAAACATTATCCAGGTTTTTGGGGCCATGGCCTAATGTTAGCACATTTACTTCAGAGGACCTTGGAGCTCATACATTCTTAAAAATAAAGAAAATAAGTGGTAAAAAAAAAAATGGTTCCATGAAAAACCATTCACGTCTATGGAAGCTTTGCATTGTGCAAAAGGTTCTTTACTGGAGGTAAGGGATTAGATTATTCTTTAGATTTTTAAAATGTTCTTCACACTTCACAAAAATGTTTCTTTCAAGAACTGTTCGCTGAAAAGTTCTTTGAGGAAGCCAAGATGGTTCTTCAGTGGCATCACTGTGAAAACCCACTTTTTTTTTTTTAAAGTGTCGAACATTTCCATGTGCACAAAATGTTCTAAATAGTGAAAAGATTATTAAAATATTCTTGAAACGAGGAGAAAAAAAAGAGATGTTCACAGAAAGGTTCTTGGAGGAACCACGAGTGATTCTTCCATTGCATTGGTACGTTCTTAAAAATATAGGATCTTTATTGGAATTGATGGTTCATTTGAGAAGTTTTACCATCCATTAACCCTTTCCATTGCACAAAAGGTTCTTTATAGGGGAAAACGGTTCTTTAATTCATTCAAATGTTCTTCACTCACATGTTCTTCATAGTGGTTTTAAGAAAGTTCTTTGGGGAACCAAAAATGGTTCTTCTGTGGCATCACTTTTGGAACCTTTATTTTTAAGAGTGTAGAACCTTTCCATAGCACAAAAGTTTCGCTGAAAGATTCTTTGGGGAACCAAAAATTGTTTTACTATGGCATCACTGCAAAAACCCCCATTTGAAACCTTTATTTTTAAGAGTGTGTGGGAAATGCAGGTTTGAATCTGGCCTAGATTATTTTGTCCCCAAAGTATATCTAGTTGTTGTTAGCTAGTTCAGCTATAGTAAGAACAAGTTTGCGAATTTTTCACGTTGTCGAAGCTCTAAAGCTCGCTCTCTCCTCTGAGAAGTTTAGTGTGAGTGTGTTAGTATAAGCCAGAGGTGGGTGATTACTCTTAAGACGATTGCGTCTGCGTAAACTTGTGCGAAAAGTGGCATCTTTCCATCGCAGATGGAGAATTGTTCTAAACGGGCTCTTTTAAAACAAACACAGAGCAGCAATTCCGCTGATTTTGTGCGTGTTTACAAATTATTAGCGGACAATGAAACAGTCTGTGTCGACTGATTTACAGTTTGAGAAAACATAAACACAATGATTGAATGGCCTGTTTGCTTGAGTTTAAACAGAGAAGGATTGCAAAAAGTCCCGCTTTATCCTCCCACAACCCCCCTGGAGTGCTGTTACGTACGCGTCCCTCAACACTGGATTATAAGGCATATTTTCCTCCTAACTTAAAGATTATCGCATATGTGCGCTGCGAAGCTTGAGCTATTATTTCCACGCCCTTGTGTGTGACAGCAGCTTTGCCCTGTTTACTCAGATTAGAGGATACAGACAGATGAGCGTGTTCATCTCTCTCATCCTGCATGTAGCTGATATTATCTTTTCATCTCTCTCTCTCATGTTGAACTGAAGATCACCCCTGAGTTGCGCTGATATAGGCTGCACATAATCACTCCGCTAATGTCTTTTTTTTTCATATTTTCTCTCCCGTGCAAACCCGCTCCATCTGGTATCTGTATCTGTCATCCGTGATCTTCGGATTATTTCCAAGTTTTGATCTGAAGCAGTACAGGCCAGTCCCAATCCAGTCTGAGAACCCTGGCCTTGTTTCATCCTTTTTAATTCTCAAAACTGGTCTCAGATCAGCAGCTTTTGACCTGCTGGATCTAAAAACAATGAAGACCTGAGACTTTATTTCACTGCCTCATAAAAGGATTTTTCAAAATTATAAAAGGAGAAATTACACAACATTTTCACTATGCTTTTCCATTTGATGAAATTAAATATATGATAACTGTTGTGTGTAATATCTTTGGAATATATATGTAAATATATCTATGTATATCTATCTATATAGATAGATAGATGGATGGATGGATGGATAGATATAGATACAGATGTATAAATATATACATGTTATATTTATGTGCATATGTTATCATATTTAAGCTCGTGTGTGTGTGTTTGTGTGTGTGTGTGTGTGT